TCCTATTGACCCACTTTTAGCACATTTTAAAAATTACTACTAAAGACAAAAGCCAGAAATGTTTGCGGTTATTTCTAATCATGCCATTGATTCAGAATCTATGATGCACATAAGTAGATCAACTGGACACCACTGAGATCTCTCCTCAGGCAGGTTCACCCCCATTAACGCCTGAAGTCATCTCTCTCCAAGAAGTTTGAGAACCAGTCACAACCTGAGGCGTGTGAGTCTTTCATTCTTAATTGGCCATTAGCCCTGTGCATCGAGGGTTATAAAATATATCTGGGACTCCCCACCAGTCAGATAAAACTGAGGAAGCCTCTTGGATGAGAGGTGAAATATCTTCCAGAACCAAAAAAAAGTGCACATGCCTTCTACTGGAGCACCTACCGTGATGACTGAGAATCTACGCAGACACGTTTCTGTTCTTGTTTTAACTATTCAGAAATGGCAAGCAGTCAGAATCCGCACCAGAATGTGGGACACCAGCAGTGCTGTCCAAAATTCCGCAAGAAGATCAGAAGGACCTACTGCATTTTGTGTCGCAAGTATTATTTAAAGGCTGTAAGTGTTTCTAATTATACAGAGACATTTGAATTTGCTGTAGGCATGAATAATATTAGATTAATGATTATTTTTTTATTTATTTTTTTTGCCATGCAGCTGTTACAACAGATTTATAATTGTGCCAAAATATCTTGATTGCAGGAACTACATGAGCATATGCACAGCATGCTGCATCACAGAGAGCTGGACAAAGCGTTGGGCACGTGAGTAATAAAAATGTGAATGAATCATTTTTAATGACTGATACAAGAACAGACAAATTATCACGCTTGATATAACGCACTTGACTTAACCCGAAGCATAGAATGATGTGAGATGGATGCAGAGAACAGCCGGATATCAACAGCCAATGGGATCGTACCACAGAGTCATCACGCACATCATAATGTCAAGCCTCAACTTTAGGAATCAAAGCCTATTTATAAGTTCTGTTACTTTTACATTTTAGAAGCTAAAGAGAAGTTTGTAGATGTTTCTAGTTCTTAAAACAAGTTATTGGAAAAATGTTGTTTTCAGTGTCCAAAAATTACAAGTCTCAATATACCATGATCCAAATATGCATCGACGAACACACTGTCATGGGCACGGTTTCTGTTTTGATGTTAAAAATCAGACGAACCTGAATCGTTGACCCCCACAGTGAGAGGATGTTGTGGCTCTGTTATCCTTCAGGGGGAAATTTTTCTCCTCACATAGTTTGGTTCAACTTGTCCCCGGAGAGGGAAGGGTCACTGCAAATCAGTACAGAGTTACTGTGAAGGGATCATCTCAATCCCATGATGTTCAGCGGCTCCTGAATGGATTGATAAGTATGAAAGTAATGTGACATATATGCTGTGGTCAGCAGATCTCAACCAACCTGGACACCTGTAGGAGATTGAAGGGAGCATCTGTAGGAGTGATGATGTTCCATCCCCTGTTCTGGCACCACACTCTGGCCTAAAACTTAACAAAGACTCTTTTTATTCTGTTTTTTTCCTTTAATTTGTCGTTCATCTGTTGCTAATGATTTACCCTGTTGTCTATAATAGCTAACAAAATGTTTTTGTGTCTTTTTGCCAACAGGAATTCCTATCACATGTGCCAAGCATGTCAGACACACTCCATGGGTTTAAATGAGTACGCCGAGCACATCTCGACTGCTCAACACAAAGCCAAGTTTACAATCTTGACGTCTAGCAATATAAAGGCTTACGATGTGTTTAAGACTCTGGATAAGGACGCCACCGACAGAATCAGGCAGAGAAACAAGATGCTAAAGAAACAGGAGTAAGACTTACACCTGTTTATATGGAGTCAAAGTAAAACTGTCAGAGTGTGCTTTCTGTTCTTTTCATCTTATAGTATGTTGTTTGGAAGTACTGCGTTTGCATAACTCTGTCTATTTCCATCACAGAAGGAAAACAATGAAAAAGAAAAAGAAAAAACAGAAGCAGGCAGAGGGCCAGAAGCATGCACAGATGCAACAGGAAAAAAAGACTGTCACGTCCAAAGCAACGAAGCCGAAAAAGTCCCGGCAGTCGCAGTTGAGGATATCAAACCAGGTGCAGGAAACCCACCACAACGGAAGCAATAACGCTGTTTTCCAAAACAAGGAGAACAGTCTGCAAAGATCTCTCCACTACGCAGATTCAGCTCTGCAGGATCAAAGCGGGAGATTCGTTTTTTGGACCGGAGAGCCAGCAGGTCGGACTTGGCATCACCCTCACGTCGGAGATCAGTTCACTACACCAACTCATCACATGAGGTATGACAGTAACTTTTCTGTCAGCAATCAGTTCAGCAAAGCCGCAGTCGGTAGCTCACAAACAGACAGACATCTAGCAGGACCACACAAGCCTCAATGGGATGCCGCTTACACCACACAGCAAATACAGCTGCCTGACGTCAGCCAGCCCAACTATCGCAACGGGCAGTACAGTTGTGGTACATATAGAGACTTCCCCAGCGATTGCTTCCCTCGGAATGGAGTCATCATCTTTGATCGTTGCCAAGGTGAGAGTTCGGGATCTTCTCAGCCACGACAAGAATGTTCACGCGGTTCAGATCAACCTGCTTCAGCCGACAAATCTGCCAACGCAGCCCCGATAAGGGATGTTGATGTCAGTGCCATGCTGAAGCAAATCAGGAGAGTGCTGGGTGTGCGGGAGCCTTGTAGAGCAGATCGAGAAGCCCGGAGGCAGAACGCCGCGCAGCAAGCTGGAGGTGAGACGGAGCGGCGAGCAGGCGTCTCCTTCAGGAGCCACGTCACCTCTGCGAGTGCTGTGCCGCCTCCTCAGGTCAACGGCCCTGCTGCTCCTGCTGCTGTTTGTCCTTCCACTGTACCTCCTGCTAAGCCAAAACCAACAGTGTTCAAAACGACACAAGAAACAACTCAGTATCACGAAAAGAGCTCTGTAGCCACAGGCGGATTGTCAGACAGCCGGCAAACAGAGTCTCAGGTGGCTGTCGACAGCTGGACTTCTCCTAACCGATCTACTGTCAAAGCTACGTCATTTGAGCCCAAATCGAACAGCACCCGTAAGGTCCGAATCGCCCACAAACCAACCAAAGCTCAGGGGGACAGAGAGGTCAGACTGAAACCAACCCTGAACAAGTTGCTCAGCTTATCAGGGGCCAGGAGTAAGCTGAGCTGGAGCCAGATGTGTGACAACATGAGGAGGAAGAAGCTAAAAAGCATGCCCAGGTGAGGATGCCTCCATCACACCAGGTCACTCATTCACCATCAGTTAAGTTGTCATCGTCAGCTGCCAATTAAATGATTAAAAAAAAAATCTATTTACAGGTTTGGAATCAAGTTTGTAAACCCCCCAGTTGACCAAGAACGCTCAACACAACCACAGGACAGCGACCTGCCTCTGTCCGAGGGTTTCCACTGGGAGTCGATTCCAGACAGTCCTTCAGCTCTGGACATGACTTTCCCACCTGCCCCGCCCCCACAGACCACAGCCGCTGACCGTCACACAGAGACACAGTCAGAAACTCAGATACAGGAACCTTTGGAGGAACCTGATGCAGCTCAGACACGCTGCAGCAGTCAGACAGCAGCAGGACTCTCTGTGAAGGTGGAACCAAAGTTGGACGATGAGTATGAAGTTTCGACCAACAGCGGTGTTCCCAGCAACAGGAAACACAAAATGTTGGCAGTGAGTAGCACCGTGTACTGTGGAACATGACTGAAACATCCAACCTGCTGAGAGATTTTACTGGTGGAATTTAATTATCATATATTCTTGCAGGATGATGGCATTCCTGATCAGGAGCCAAGAGGAAAAAAGAAGAAAACAAAGTCAAACAAGGGTAATCTGGATATTTTATGATGATGATTTTTTTTTTAAAGGGCCCATTTTATGCGTTTTGCTTTTGTTCATTTATACAGCTGCTTTTATGTGCTTGTAAAAGGTCTGCAAACTTATTTCCTTCAGAAAACACTCCCGTTTAGCTGTGTGAATGCCTTGTTTTAGGTCTTCTGTTACTCATCTACATCACTGTGTAACACATTTGCACACCAGCTTAGCAGCTAATTTGGTGCTGCACCAGTCTAGAATATGAGGGGAAAAATTGTTTAGTGAACATTAAAACATGTGAACATGTTCTAGTAGATGCTAAAAAATACAATTATAAACCTGTAAATGTATAATATGGGCTCTTTAAGAACTTAGGTCTTAGGGCAAGTCAGCAATGAATGAGTAACACCTGATCACAAACTTATTCAGATGGTCAGTGTTTCAATCCCAGGCAGGTATTCATTACATTTAAACCTTATTTGACTTGTGGAAATACTTTTTTATTAAATAAAAAACTGACGAAAAGGGGATCTGGGATCGAAACATTGCCCATCTGAATGCATGCGTGAACTGACACATCAGACACGTTACACATCGCAGTCGCAACAGTCTGTGATGTGATGACAAACGTGAGTTCACCTGACCTCTGCGGTCTGCTCTTCATCGCTGCAGGAGGCTAGCAGCACCTAGTCAGCATATCTGAATGAGCTGTTGGCTGCCAAGTTGCATTGTGGGTAATGTAGGTGCCAAGTTTTGACAAGGAAGAAGACTGTGGAATAAAAAAAAACCAAAAGATATCTGTGAATCTCTCTGTTGCATCAGTTTTGGTATATTTTTAAAAAGTCCAACAGTGGGGGCGGAGTGTCCTTTATTGAGACTATTTCATACTGAAATGTACATCTCAGCTGACCTATTGACCTTTTATTAGTCAATACTCTGAGACTGTTTGAACTGCGTTGTCACATCCAGAATGTTGAAGAACATTTCTACACGTCCAGATTGCTTCTCACTTGCAGACAGCACGCCGATGGAACAGCTCCTGGTGGTGTCTCTGAGGGAGGAGGAGTTGAGCCACTCGCTGCAGGATTTGGACAAGTCTCTGTTCCAGGCCCGCAATGCCCTGCAGGCTGCCTACACAGAAGTCCAAAGACTGATGTTGCTCAGACATCAGGTGACACCACCAACGATGAAACTGTCACATAAATGTTTATTCTTCGCCTCAGATGTTCATTCATAGATTTCTGTTTCTTCTGCTGTTCCAGTTCACGACTGAGGTCAATGACCTGAGAGCCAAGCGCATTGAGATCCTGCAGGAAATGCAAGGTACAGTAGATTCATAGCAACAGTAAAAGCTTCTGCTCCAAGTGCTTTGGTAGGTGACAAACAGTTTACTCTTTCCTTTCTTAATCTTTTCCAGAAGGGTACACTGGAGCATCTGGTGTGGTGGAGAAAGCCACCACCTCGTCAGCACCGTCTGCTGCAGCTGCTGTGCAGCCTCCTGTGCCTCTCTCCTCTGGTGCCTTCCCCACCTCCTCAAGCCAACAATCACCTGCAACAACCCCAGCATCGTCTGTCCCCCAGCCTCAGCCAGCTCCCCTCGCTCTGTCAGGAAAACAAGAAATGGTCCAGCAGCCCGCAGCTGGACAGACCAGCTACTCTGCCAACACAGTGTCGTGTAAAGCTGATGCCCCTCAGGTCTCTATGAACCAAGCTGTGCCTTTATTTCCCCCCTCTCTGCTGCTCCAACCATCACACCTAACCACTCCAACAAGCGGTGCTGCTTCTGCTCAACAACCTACAGCAGAGTGCTCAACGTCGGTGAAGACACCTCCTCCTCCTGAATCACCTGCCAGGCAGCAGAAGCAAGAGAAACAAAAGGGGCTGAAGGGCTGCATACAGACAGCGACGTTGGCAGAAGAAACACATCCAGCTGAAAGAATTTCTGAGGAAGCAGTAAATCACAACAAAGAGCAAGTTGAATTAAGAGAGCCAGTAGCTGACAAGTCTGTCCCTGAAAGAGAAAGTAGTGCTGCTATAGTAATTGATGAAGGGAACCAAAGCGACGGCTCTGTAGAACTGATTGATCCCTCCAACTGCGTGGTCATAGATATCGTCGAATCCGACAACGAGGACCCGCCAGAGAAAGGGTCTGATGTTCCGGTGCAGCCAGAGCCGCCGCAGAACTCTGCAAGCACACAGACGTTTCAGCAAAGTGACAGCGACAGGTGAGGTTCATCCCAACGAGCACTTCAGGGACAGAACCCAGAACTTTACTGGGCTGCGTTGTTGCAAATTCAAGTGAGCAAAAATGAAACGTGACCGACCTTTCTCTGTTGATCCCCACAGAAAAGTTAAGCCTCCAGCTATGACGGCAAAAGAAGAAAAGACTCCTGCAGGTGAGCAGTGTCCTGTTGGTGTTAAATGTTGCATGCAAAGATGAAAAGCTTTAAAAACATACTAACTTAACTGATGTTATTTTAGAGCCTGTTGAGGATGAGGAACCTTCAGTGGGAGCGTTTGAAAATCACACCGGCCCCGTCCTCGGCCTCCAAGTTCACGATGGCTTGTTGTACACGTGTTCAGGGGACAACACAGCGCGGGCCTACAGTCTAGCGGTATGTTGCTGCCAATGTGAAACTAACAAACTCTTTTACTCGCCTCTGCACAAAGAGTTCCAACCTGTGTAAATATTGTCGTAAAACATATGTCCTTAAAGGAAGCAGAAATCTCCTCTCGGTCCCAAACCCTTCCACCGGACAAACATGGGCAGATGCATGTGCTTCAAACGAAACACAAGCTTGATCATAAACATGAATTTAGATATGAAACAGAATTAGCCATGGCAGCAGCTGTTAGCCTTTAGCTTCAGTTTGCAGATGGCTAAACTATTAGCAGCCACTCATCACCAGCTCGACGGTGAATCTTCCATCACCGACTGCTACAACACATTTAGATAATACAGGACGGGGAATTCAGCAGCTTACCTGTTCAGGAGAAGAGTGGCAAGCTCAGATTATAGAAGTTACTGCATTTATTGCCACACTCTCTTTTTCATAAATTGTTCTTCCTTTTTTGGGTTGTTTTACAGTGTTGTCATTTAAACAAGAGTTAAGGGTCGTGCACCCACATCTGCATTTTTGATGTGGGTGCAACATGAAGACATGTGATTGGCTGAAGATTCCTGTCAAAAGTATAGTTTCCTCTCAGACCGTTTTAATTAAAATACGCTCAAAGGTCAGTGTGGAATTTTGGCCTGATGATGCCAAAATAATGCTGCCTACCTCAGTTTTAATTTATGTACAGTCCTGTGAGTTTATTCTTTCAGTTTAACCGTCCTATGTTCAGGAGAAACCTTTTGTTTGTCATAGAAAGTACAGCTTATCACTGGGAAACTGCGATTTTGAGAACTGCTGCTGTTTAGGGTTAGGGTTAGACAAATTATTTATTATTAAAATGTGGTTTCACGTCCTGAAGGGACCTCCAGAGTTTCCTCACACATCCCTTCACCTGATGCTAATACAGACTGCATATTAAGCGTCATTGTTTGTCTTCTATCATTCAGAGCAGAGAATGCCAAGCAGTGTTCGAGGGTCACACCAACAAAATCAACTGTCTGCTGGTGTCGTCCCTCCCGAACATGCCGACGCGCCTCTACACCGGATCCAGCGACCAAACCGTCCGCTGTTACAGCATAAAGGTACGAAACGTCCGCACGGAGCCTCACGTATGTGTTCGGCAGTTGAAATACTCACATGCTGACTTTGTTTCTGCACCTCTAGTCTAAGAAGTGTCTGGAGCTGATCTCCCTGCCAGACAGAGTGTTGTGTTTGCACATAGCCTGGAACATTCTGTACGTCGGGCTCGCCAGCGGATCAGTCGGAAGCTACGATTTAAAGGTGAGTGAAACCGTTTGAATAGAGGGACCTTCATAATGGCAGAGTGAGCGGCTGGTATTTAACCCTCTAATACCCAAAACCCAGCAGCAGGTTTGAAAGGCATGAGATCTGTTTAA